TCCATCATTTAGGCCTCAGCTTGACTTCAGGCATACACATAATCCCAGTGAAGTGAGGTCCACAGTGAAGTGCTTTACTAGGCTGGGCTCTACACATTCCTTCTTCTGATCTTCCCAGTTCTCTGAGTTTACATGTTAGCTTTTGGCATTGTTGCACCTTTTTTTTTCTCACCGATTACTCCTGTCAGCTGCAAAGGAGGGGCTAAATGGAATTGGAGCTGACGAGCCTGAGCTTTGTGACTACCTTCTCATATGACTCTAGATTTTCCTGCAAGATTGTGTCGGGTTGTTGGGGTTTCTTTGTGTGTAGTTTGGGTTTTTTTTTTCCATTAGTGAGTTCCAATGCATTTATAGTACCTAATCTGACTACCATGTCTCGTAAAGTGGCACCTTCTTCTGTGAAACAGGAAAAGATGACCCACAGTCACATTTTTTAATTCGGAGTTTTTTTTGGTTGTTTTGTTTGTTTGTTGTTGTTGTTGTTTATTGAAATACTGTAGGAGTTTATGCCAGACGTGGGTTACTAGGGTGTGTCCTGCTTTGCAGTTTAATTTATTAACACTGTAAATAGCCACAGAGAATGAATTTACCAATGCACATGCAGGCTGCACTCTGGCGAGCTGGGAACTGCTCAGAATAACTGCTGGTGAAAGCAGGTTTCAACTACTGTGAGGGAGAAAAAAAGAAACCTGCAGCAATAGGAAATCTGTTTAATAATTCTGTCATAAAACAGGGTGTAAACAGATTCAGGCAGTACCTAGACAGAACTGGGTATTCCCCCTCTTCCACTCAACCTATCTGATTTCAGTGCCATACAGAGAACTTAATGCTCAGACTACAAAAAGCCTGAGTCAATGGCAAGGAAGCAACACTTCAGGAAAGACTTGGTTAGAAGTATAATCTGTGAATATCCACAGCATCATCTATTTTGTGCTGTAATGTCACCACTCTCTGGTTTTCTGATGCTTCTTGCTTATAGAGCTGCACAGCATAAAAAATTCACTCCTGAAGCAGGTTTGGTAGCATGTGTAACTGAAGAAGTCATATACTGCATTGCATAAGCAGCAACTTGAGGTGCAAGACTTAAAACCAAGCTAGTGCTGAGCTGCACCACAGATACCAACATCCACAGAAGTCAAGGACCATGAGGAACTACGGCCTAAATTCTGCTGTAATCTCTGACCTGCCTTCCACAAACATGGTAGCTGCCCAGTAAGGTTGCAGATGACAGGCATCCTTCTGTAACTTCGTACAAAAATTATATAGAAAAACACTAGTATTCTATTGTTCATAGTGACAGTGCTGAAAGGTACAGTAAAACCCATGATTTATGCACTAACCTCTGCTTCAAAAGAAGATTCTCAAATGCAGGTTCTTAAGGAAACATTTAAAATACTAATGCTAAAGTGTAATGGTGAAATACTTGCAAGCATCTATTCAGCAGAGCCTGGGATGAGACCTCAGTTATTACAGGCATATTCTCACCTTGGTGGCAATCAGAACTAGATCAGGAAGTTCCCTGCCATCTTTTACTGCTGCAGGCATGGTAAGAATTTATAAAATGAAATGTACCCTGTGCCATGGGAACATGTGAGCTAAAAAGTATCCAAAAGTGTGGGTGGAAAGTAAGGAGGAAAAAGGAAACAGGTTTGGGGTTGGGTTTTTTTTTGTGGATCAAAGTGCTCCAAACAGCAGAGAAAAAAAAACAACCTGTTGCAGCATTTCCTTGGAACCAGAACTGCTTATGAGATGCAGTGCAAAAATATCACTGTCTCTTCCTGGGTGTTCCCTTCCCCACCGAGGGCAGCAGCTTGGCACCCACATCGCTGCGCACCTCTGCAGAGCTGCCCTTGGAGCCAGTCGGTTTGAACGACGTCGGTAATGCTCAAGGCTCTTCCTAGTCTTCAGCCTCAATCTTCTATGTCCCACCATATCATGGCATTAACATAAAACCTGGTATCCTCAAAAGATCATCTAGTCCAGTCTCTCTGCCAGAGCAGGAACACCTAGATGAGGTTACACAGGAAGGCGTCCAGGCGGGTTTTGAATGTCTCCAGAGAAGGAGACTCCACAACCTCTCTGGGCAGCCTGTTCCAGTGCTTTGTTACCCTCACTGAGAAGTTTCTTCTCAAATTTAAGTGGAACCTCCTGTGTTCCAGTTTGTGTCCGTTAGCCCTTGTCTTATCATTGTTTGTCGGGACACAAAGTTCCATATCAGTGTAAAAAGTAGTGGCGTAGGAAGTCATCCCACAAACAGTCAGCATATTACCTCCCATATACCCTAAGCAATGATGATAGGACCTGCCAGTTTACAACAGCTCTTTATTTTACTCAGATTATAAAACATCATCTCAGGGCTCTGGTTAAACAGTGTTCGCCTATTTCAAATAATGAGCTTGATACTGCTCTTTATTATAAATACTAACAAATTAACTTTAATTTCCATCAGAAATACCATAAAAACATAGTCTAACTGAACATATTTTTCAGCGATTCCCTCATGCAAAAAATCCTGAAGAATCTGAGGCAGACCTCTATATTGTATATACACTTAGCTTTATATATATCAAAGATCACAATTTCTGTATATCACTCATTGTGATTTTTCACTTAATAAATTATGTCAGCATTATGAAAATATAAACAACCATCTAGTTATTTTGCTGCTTTGTAAGAGATTTAATGATTGAACAGAGAATTGCAAAATTACATGAATGCAATGGAAAGTCATGTACACATTCATTTAAGATTTCCACATGGACTTTTCTTATTCTGAAACTTTTTCCACATTTTAGAAGTCCTTCAATAGTTTCCAGTCATCTCTTTCTTTCAACACATGCACACAAAAAGTATGATGTGTATATATGTATCACACATTACATACCATATGCAATTCTATATATATATTTATAAGCAAATACATGTAACATACTCTGAATATACATATTGTATGTAAGATATATATATATATACACACACACACGCACATATACACAGAGATATACCACAGGTGTGTCGTATGCATTTAGACATACAGGTGTATGCATCTATATATACATATATGTGTGTGTGTGTGTGTGTATATGCTAAATTCTTCCCTCTGATATGTATATGCCGCGCTTTCTGAGAACTGGGTGCCTTCTATAGAAATCTACTGCTGTCAGTGAGATCCACTCACTTCCAAACAAAAACACAAGCAAACCTGTCCCCAACTCATTTAACTTCAGTGAGTTTCAGCTCATGCCTCATGAACCCCATGCTTTGAAATGGGTCCCTCCAGTCCTTGGGTTAAGTTCTAAATCACCAAATTAAACGCAGTTGACACTATAACGTATTTGAACAAATAACCAAGAGCACTTAAAAAATAAAAATCACACGGAACCTTATTCTTTTCCTGCCGATGTCTGTTTTATCCCAGCATGACCTGACTGTCTGGGTGGACTGCTGCATGCAACGAGGAATCTGTGAATAGTGCGAGGCTGCTTGTCTTGACTTTAGAGTGTAATTCACATAGACTTGGAGTAGGTTGAGCTATTTATTTTGTATTTGGGTTTGTAAAGGAAAAAACAGGCCTTTTATGGAAAGATAAAGATGTATATTCACTAGAAATCACAGCATAGATTATACATTCTTAAGTAAAATGTGTGCACCATATAACCTTTGGGTTATATTTTTAATTTGTTAGATAAATATTTATTTACTGAATGTATTTCTACTACTACACACTTGATTAACCAGGACAACTCTTATTAAAATATTTTAGATTAATACTCTGCATATTAAAAAATATGTAATAAAATTCTGAAACTAGGCACAGCTAAAAAGTAGATCTTGAATCCTGAAAAGATCCAAAGCACCTGCTTAAAATTAGAATTTGAGTAAGTCCACTGATGGCCTTTACTGTGAGTGCCTAAATATTTGCAGAATCAAGACGATTTATTATTCAAAGGTTAAATTTGGGATCTCACACCTGAGAACATGTAGTGGTTACTACCATGAGTAATCCTCACTGAGGAGGATGTTATGTCTTACAGCAATAGCCAGAGCAGACTCTGAAAGTGGGAGAGACTGACTTTACTCATGTATGAAAAGTGAAGATGGGACTGACTCTTTAAATAGCAAAGAATAAAGATTACTAACAAATCTTCCCAAATACTATATTTTATTTTCCAAGAAGGCTAACTTTGCATTATACATAAATAACTTAGGCATATTTAAATATATTTGTATAACAGGAAAAATAACAAATCTCAATTTTTAAAAATTAAATTTTAATTAAAAAATCACTTGGAGACTGAAACTGCATACTTCAAATTTCTCCCACAGCAATTTTCTGACAGCCAGGTTGTAAACCCCAGAAAACAGGAATCTGTGGATGGAAATGGTGATACAGCCTCATCTTTCCATGCTGTAGTACATCATGGTATAAAGATGAGCGAATGCACTTTTGCACACAGGTTGCCAGAAATCCCACAGTAATGAAATGTGTTCATTCTACTGCAAGATGGTAAATTGATTTAGGTTGCCAAAATTAAAAAAAAAAATTTAAAAAAACAACCAAACGAAAAACCCTCCATGAAACAGAAAGTTGTGCTTCAAGAATGCCCTGACACTGTCTGCAAAGCACTTCCCCTTGTCACCCAGCTTTGGCATCGCTTTACCTTCCTTATTGCATGGTTGTTGACCCATTCTGTGGCTGAAGTATTAGAATGTATGCTGTATAAGTGAAGAAAGAAAACTCTCAGAATAACTGGATTTCTGCAAATAGGATTGGTAAATTTTCTTCATCTCTGGATTATTTCTTTTTGTAGGGTCTGGTGCTACTTTGGTTGAACCCAATGTGGAAAGTCCCACTGAAGTCAATGATGTAAAAAGAGCTGTTAGACATGCAAAGATCTCTCCAGCCAACCTCTCTGCGATTCCCTTTCTCACAATAATTTTTTAAAATGTGCCTATTATCACCAACTGCCAATGTTAAAATGCACTCTGTTTTTTTTTTAATACAAACAACATTTACTACGAAACTATGAAGGGAAAAGCCATCAGCTTGTTTGCAGGTGATTACCTATTCATATGACACAAAAGAAAAATAATTTAGTCACAAACTATACATAGTATTTGGTGGGGGACAGTATATTTGTAGTTTAGAGTTAAAAAAAAAAGGATAGCTTCAGTGGTAATTAAAATAATTACTGATGAGATAAAAGACTTTAAAACCAAGAAAGTGATAATCTGGCTACAGAGACAATCATTGTAATATGTCTAACACAGAGGTTTGGGTAGTAGAAAGGTAAGAAGAGGGATCTGGGGAAGAAAAGACACCGTCATGCAGAACAGCACTAGTTCTTGCTCAGTATACTCTTCAGGCTTCTCTCCACTGCTTCATCCAATTCTTCTTCCAGCTCTTCCTTCTTGGACATGGCCAATTTGGACCGATAATCTTTTACTATTTGGTCTATATATGGTGCGCTCTGAGTCCCATGCAGCATCAGTGTCCACTCCTTCAGCACGCCTCGCTGTGGCAGGCTGCCCACAAACCCAATCTCTAGAGCCCAGATGCCTCGGGGGTCTTCTCCCCAAGTGTGTGTGGTCATGAAAGGCCATTTGTCAAAACCCACCTTGGAGTCGTCATCCCTGGGACGCCGGCTCAGTAAAATGGACTTTGTTCCCATTGGCGAGGTCATGTTGATGTTGAGGTCGCCTCTCCTAGTGGAATTCACAGTTATAACTGCTTGGACGTGTTCAAGGTATCGGACAAAGTTTTCCTTCCCCTCACAAGCACCAGTTGTAAGTGTGAGGAGCAGCTTTCCACTTGGTGGTATCTTTCTGTATGTCAGAAAATAATTAAGCATATTAAAAGGATATACACAGCATGACAAGGCTCATTCTAAAGCTACTGGGTTTTGGTGCCTCAAAGAAAAACCTGTATTATATTATTAATACATGGAAAATTAAGAAAATAATAGTTGAAAACTTAGCCAGAAAAAGAACATTTTCTTTTTAGAAAATGGTATCAAAACTTTAATTTGAAAATACATTCTGAAATGTACACCTACACAAAGAAAGAAAGAATACAATTAAAAAGAACATACTGCTATTTAAGAAATACTGAAGTACATTTAAAAGCTGCCTTTACTTATCACTACTATAGTGGGCAATTGCATAATGTGTATATTCAGTAGAAGGGCCATAAGCAGTCAGTTGTGTCAGTCACCTTAAAAGACAGCTGCAAAAAGCTGTCTGGAGTTAGAGGAGCCAGATGCATAGAACTCTGGTGCAGTCACATTCAAGCTTACATCCTTGTTCTGATTTGGACACCAGCACAAACACGGAATCCCAGTTTCAGCTCATTTGAAAAATATTTTTCCATTAAAACCGCCATCCTTGAACTGCTCCCATACAGAAGCGCACATACAGAAGAAAGAAGTCACATTTATATACTGAGTTGCCAAAGTGCTGCACCTTAAAGTCATAAGTTTCCAGGCGACTAAAACTCAGTCCTTATGAAGGCAAATTCACAATTAACTTAATGACATTTGTCATAAGTATTACCAGAAAGCTAGACCCGCAAATGGGACACAGGCTCAGTCCTCTGCAAGGTACATCCACGCTTTCCCTGCTCTTGCAGAGTTGGCCAGGAGCCACTGTGCACTGGGCAGTCCTGCTCAGGACCCCAGCGCAGGCCCAAAGGCACTGTCACTGACCTGGGAGCAGTGCTCTGCCAGCAGCCAAGGCTGCC